GGTGCAGGGTCCGCAAACTGCAAAATCGAAAAGTACGGTTCAGGATTGTTGAAGCTAGGGCGGGCTCCACACGTTTCGACATGTAGGTGCAACTCAGGGGCGCATCACTTTCCGACCTTCTGCACTTTTACATCCGAGTCAGCAACTCACCTATAGGGAAACAAAGGCACGAACTTGGAGCCCTAAAGCCTGAAACGGGCCTAAACCCTACATGCCCGACACCCCAAAATCCCCAAAAATCACGGCGCAGCAGCCTCTGGGAGTCCGATGGCCTTGGCATGGTTCTCGATGTTCTTCTGGATGTTCCTCAGCTTGGGGGGCTTAGGCTTCTCGGGTCCTGGGGTCCTGGGGTCTTAGGGTTCGAGGGTCCTAGGGTCATAGGGTTTAGGGTTGAGGGTGCTGGAAGGCAGTGTGGCTTCGGGGTTCGGGTTGAAGGGTTTGGAACATTGTATCGAGGGGAGTAAGGGGCAACAAAGCCGAAACCCTGTCCCTTAACCCCTATGAGCTCCGCTTGCTCTGACGAACTCTATCATCCCCAAAACTAGGTCCACGACGAACCCCCACCCCCCTTGAATGAAAACCCAAACAAACCCGAAAACCCCCAAGTCCGGCTTCTGATTCAGGCCCTGACTTGCTCAGCCCAATGTACTGCAGCCGCTCGCCCGAGTCGTACACGGCATACACCCCCATCTCCTCGTAAGATCTGCTTAGGGCTTCCCTGCATTTGCTGCAAAGCCCCCTGCAACTTCTCCTCATGACAAGCTCGAGATCGGTGCATGCTCTTCAATTTGATAGCACCGAAAGCCTTCCTACGTGGCAGTCCAAACGGGTGGGGGCAATGATGTCCACCTTTGCAAATGCCGTGGTACAGCTTCAAGATTTTGCACATTGTAACCTCCAGCCTCCATGTTTTCAGGAATGCCTGTCGAGTGGAAACCAAGATTGATTGTTCTTCCTTGGCAACCATTTGCCCCTCGTTCACTACACTCGAGAGCACGCGCGCCTGAGTCTAAGTAACATCCACACATCTCGCTAAGTTGCTACAGCGAAAAAGCGTGTCAACGTGTATGAATAGAAGCTGAGGCGCCTTGAGACTTGAGACTCAAGGATCAAGAGTGGGCGTGCACGGAGGCACTGCTAACTGATTTCTGTCAGTTTGGCCTATTTGTTTGGACTTTTTTCCTGGACCGCTCTGGCAAGTGGGTCTCGGCCGCCCCTGCAACGTAAGAATATCTGGATACAAGTAAGCAGACATCTGTGTTGCCGATGGTTTGCCCTTTGAGCATGCCAGGTCCTCATGCACAACATGCTTGTTTTCCCACTGCATTCTAGGGTTTCAAGGTGGTCCAGGGCTTCAGGGTTTCTAGGGCCTTTAGACGAGGCTGTCCTCAGGAAGCGCCGACACATCCGGCTCACCGGAGAGGACGTCCACGCCGGTCATGAAAACTGGTGCCTGAGTGCAGTTGTTAACGAAGGAGAAGCTTCTTGGATTCAGAGCCTGGCCTGATGCTACTCATGTCGGGCTTGCCCTGCTTAAGCCGGCTTGGCCTTCTAAGCGAGAGTACTCCCGCCTCGGACAGCGTCGGCACTTCCTGAGAGCGAGGAATGTCGGCAATGGAGGGTTGGAACTTGGGACGTTTTTGCTTGGAGGTGGGGGGATTTGCTGATTGCCTTTCCAGAAGCTTCATCACAAGGTGTGTTGTCGCCTCTGCTGAGCTCCATGAGCGCTTTACACTCGCGATAGATCTGAAACCCGCCCTGCCCAAACTTCGGAGGGAACGCTGATTTTGCTTTGCTGGGCCTTAATGTTGGACTGTCTTTAGTAGATGGGACCACTATTATGCGATTTTCCGCTCGGCCTATACCATTGTTTAGGGGGGGTTCACAATTATGCGATGTTGTCCCGGCTGGGGTCGAAGGGCGGTGGGCCGGGGAGCCAGAAACTAAAAAACAGTTTTGAATAAGAAACTCCGGATTTTTTGGTGTCCAGCCTTATTTAAATTCCTTGTAAAATTTCATTATGAAACAGGCCCCCAAACAATTTTCCGAGGGAGTAGCCCACGAGCTGCCCTGATTCGCTTTAGCAAGTTGTTTCGGTGGTCCGCATTAATGCGGAGCCCCGGCGACCGTGGAGCTACAAAGCCTGGAAAGCTTAGACCCTCAAGCTTCAAGGCTTCCCCTCAACCCTCGACCCCTAGCCGCCCTACCCCCAGCCCCCGTCCCAGCCCCGTCCCAGATTATTAAGGATCCCCGAAAACCCCAAAAGTGTTTGGGGGGGGGGGGGGGGGGGGCGCCCCCAACACACTAAAGCGAGTCCAACATTACGAGGGGAAGCTCGCCGAGAAGAGGCAGAAAACATCTACAGGGGTCCGAGGCTTTCACTAGGAGGTCGGTACCATCGTCTGCCCGGCGAGAAACCAACGCCTCCGGCGCCAGGGTTCCGAAGCTTGGGTTCAAGGTTTCTGGGTGTAGCGTTTGGGGCTTAGCATTTGGGGCTTAGGGAAGGCTTCGGAACCGTGGGGTTCAGCTTCGAGCTTCGAGCTTCGTTTGCCAGTCTCGGAGATCTATACGTGGTTGCAGTGGCTTTGATGTGCGGAGCCCCGGACCCACAGGCAAGACAGCTTGGCTCCTTGGTCGGCTACCACAAGCTTCACAAAGGAAGCCATACCCTCCGTACACCTCAAGAATGAAATGCCGACTCACCCCTCTATGGGTTGAGGGGCTCAGGGTCCCTGAATCTGAGCCACCCCAGAAGGGCCCGGCCTGATGCCTGGCATTGGGGGCGGCAGGCCCCGTGAAGCCAGCCAGAAACCTTGGAGGTCTTCTGATAAGCCTGGGGTTTCTGGCCGAATGCCCTCGTCATTCTGGATCTAAGAATTGTCGGGCATTGTGTTGAGGCAGTTTGGGGATTGCAGGCTTCTTGCGGGCGAACCTCAGGGCGGGGTGCCCACGAAAACGGCTCGGATGCACGCATTGCTGAGGCTGAGGCTTGATGACAGTAGTTTTTGGCAGGCTTGAGGGGGGCCAAGAGGAAGTCAAGCACTGGCAGGGCTGACTTCACAGAGTTGTGGCCGTCGCCCTGAAGCCGCAAAACCTGGATCCATAACATGCGTGGCGTAGTGCAAGCTCCAGATGACATCCCCACCTCGGAACCGACTTCCGAACTCTCCAGCCAACCCGAATACCCGAGCCGCACCCCGCAAGCAACGATAACCACAACCCACAAGGCTCATCATGCCCCCCGCAGAAAATATTGCTAAACCCTACATCCTAAGCTCCAAAAACCCAACCCCAAAATCCAATGAAAACCCTAACCTGCGCGTGTTTCCGAGGTTTGGGCGTGCGGAGGTTGGAAAAACTGCACAGCCAAAGGGCGGCCTGAGGTTCTCCAAGCAGGAGTGGTGCTAGGGTCTAAGGGTTGATAGGGCTGCATGGCTTGCAGGAGATTGGGGCAAAGGTCTCAAGGGTTTGAGAGAGAGAGAGAGAGAGAGAGAGAGAGAGAGAGAGGGCGAGAGAGAGAGAGAGAGAGAGAGAGAAAAAAAGAGATAAAGAAAAAAAGAAAGATAGATAGATGGAAAGAAAGAAATAACGAAGGAAAGAAATCAAGAACAATAAAGAAAGAAAGAACGAAATAGAGAAAGAAAGAAAGAATACATACATACAGAAAGAAAGAAATAAATAATTAACGAAAGAAAGAAAGAAAGAAAGGGAAAGAGAGCCAACGCATTGCGGAAGTCAAGCCGCAGAAGTCCCGAACTCCAAAACTCTTCACTCCAGGCCGTGAGCCAAAGCCCAAGAACACTTGTCAATGCTGGGGGTGGAACTAAATTGTGGGCCCTTCCAAAGCACCCCACTGCAGCAGAAAAACATCCGTCTTTCCGTCTTGCCGTCTTGTGAAGCGTTCGCTTCGCTGGCTGCGGGCCCAAGAAGTGCACGACAAACCAGCGTGGGCCCCCGGCCGCAGCCCACAGCGTCACTCCAGGCCTCAGCCTCGACATGGGCTCCACCTGCGGATTGCTGGGGGGTTTGAAGTTTGAAGCCCCGGCAAAGTAAAGGCTATGGGATCTTCATGAAAAGGGGGGGCCATCTTTTGGGGTAAGGAGTTTAGGAGCACGGAACATGTCTCAAGGGTGTGGGTTCAGCGTCTTGCTCGGCTGCTAGACTTCCTTCAGGCCCATGCTTCGAGTGCCCCGAATAAGGCTCATAACCGGCGGCTTTTACCAAATGTGGCTCCCAAGGCTGGCTTGCACTGTTATACACCTCGCCTTGGCCTTCGGCTTCCGGAGAGCCGATGGTTTAAAGCTCGATGGCTGCGGGCACTGGCTTTCGACAGAAGGCTCTTGTGGGCAGGGCTTCCGTATGCAGGGTCTATAGGGACCCTTTAGGGGCTCAGTTGTAAGCTGGCAATACACCGCGGACACGAGCAAAGCCGTCGAGATGGGTCGGCGCAGTACCAGGGAGGACGCGATGGGGAGAGCCGAAGGGATGTGGCTAGGCATTAGGGATCAACTGCGTAACAAGGGAACTGAAGATGACAAATGTATGTACGAGGATTCGACAAGATTGTTGCTCGGACTCTGCTCGAAGAGGCTGCATCGAGGAACATTGGCTTTCTGGGGCCTAAGCTGCGGTGGCTTCGCCTGGCCGCCTGGAACAGCCGGGAATGTGCTGGAACATGTCCGCTACAGTACCTGCACAACAAGGCAAGGTTCACTTCGTGACGCCTTGCCTCCGGAAGAACATCGAAGCTCCCCAAGCGGTCGCTTCACCCAAGATGCACGCCGCAAGTCCAAGCTTTCGTTGCTTGGCTGCCCCGTTCCTATTCGAAACGAGGCATTGCGGCTTGGGCGCTCCCGGGAATAGTGCGGAACATTGTCTTGGACACCTATAGGAAAGCCATGGTCAGGGGACCCTGGATAGGGGTTCCGAAGACTCCCCCACCCCTGCTTTTTACAAAAATTGCGCGGGGCAAGGCAAATAAAACACCGGGCAGCAGAAGCTCAGACTTGCATGGCTTCTGCCTCGATGATCTTGCGCACCGCCTCCTCGGAAAGTACGAGGGGTTTCTGCGCAAAGAAGCCCTTGGCGGCTTCGAAGTGGCGCAACATGCCTGCCGGAAGACAGGAGATGGACTGCTGGTTTTTGCAAGGAGGACCACCAACAAACAAAAGTCACACCACGCAGTACCACATCACGGATGACCCTAAGCCCTAAGCCCAAGAGCCCCGAAACTCCCGACTCCCACCCCGAACTAGACTCTAGACAAACCTTCAACGGGTTTTCAAAATGGTTTCCCAGATTTTCGGGCCGGGCCGAGGCGGTGGACGCACAGAGTTGCAACGACAGTACAACATCACAGACAGATCACACGGGCTGGGGCTCCTGGACAAAATGAGGAGAAGCAAAAGGATATTGAACAACACAATTACGCTGGGATCGGCGGAGCTGCCGTCGATCGATACGGCGCCCGGTCTCGGCTCGACGGAGATCGCGGTGAAGTCGGTACTCTGGTCTCCCGCCCCATCCTCGAAGATCTTCTCCCGCACCTTGCAGCCACTTTTAAAGTAAAGTAGAGTAAAGCAAAGTAAAGTAAAGGTAAAAGGAAAATAAAGGAAAAGGAAAAGGATAAGTAAAAGTAAAAGTAAAAGGTAAAAGTAAAGTAGGTGGTGGTAGGATGCCGCGCCTTGTAGCCAAAGATCTCCTCCATTGCAGCCAGAGCCTTCTCCATGTAGAGGCTGTCCTGCTCGTTCTTGTAGAGGTGGGGATGGTTGGTGACGACATCGTCGCCCTCGAGGGCACTTCCGGAGGTGCGGAACACCATGGAGTACCGGTCATCGGTGATGTTGAAAACGACGCCGGCGTGCTTTTGAAAGGCATCGAAGGCCAGCGCCTCTCCCACATCAATGGCAGCGTACTGGCCCGGCACCTTCTGTCGCACTGGAGCCAGGACAAGAGACTCCAAGCAGCAAAAGCGACTCTACTGTAAGCCTGCGACCTCATGGACCTCATGCCTCGTGTCGTGACCCGCCTGCCCGGCAGGGTCGGCCCGATGTCGCATGGACCACAGGTGGACGTTGAAGAAATTTGCCGCAAAGTTGGCCAATTTCCGGTCCGTCCTGCGGCTTTGCGCAAGCCTAGGCTCAACCTAGAAAAAAAATAAAGGCCATGCGATACCAAGGGCGATCATTCAGGGCATGAACGTGCTTTGTTTTGAAGACCTGCATGCTGCGGGCTCTGGCAGGAAGTTGCTCCGTCCTGTTGGAGAAGTGCGGGTAGGTACCGAGGAAGAGGGCCTTTTGCATCAAGTCTCGGTTGGAGTCGTCGATGTATCCGCCTTCTAGGAGAGACTTGTAGGCATAGTTCGGTGTCATCCTCTGGCTTCACACCCAGGCCCATGAAGATGTTGTAGTATGTTGCAGTATGTTGCAGTTTGAGACGTTTGAGAGCCGGATGGCTGTTGAAAGTTGACTAAAAGGATGCTGGACAGGGAATGCCAAGAAAAACAAAACGAACCTGGACAAGACTCCGCTGCACCGTGGGCGTCTCCCACACAAGGAAGGGCTTCGAGCCCTGCGTCACGGGGCTAAGCGCCACGTGAAAGTTCACCTGGCTCGAACTTCTCAAATGTACTTGAACACCCCCATTGCCTCTAATCCGCAGATCTTCAGGAAGCCAACAAAACCCCGGAACAACAGACGAGACAACAGACTCTCAACTTTCAACCCACTGCAAGAGACCTTTGATGCCCACCTGGCTGGGGAAGGAGTCGGACACGCAGAGCTCAGCGTCCGCTGGCATTGATGAGAACGTGCAATGCACGCCATCGGAGTCGCCAATCGGCATGCCCACCTCTGTGGGGACAACAAAATTCCATTCTGGGCACTCCGATACTCCGGAGCGAAAGCCCGTTGATACAAGGCATACTTACGGCATGCTGCCAGCTTCCTCATGACCGAAATCGCTCGCAAGTGAAACTCTCCCTGCCCTTGGCCTTGTGTCGGAAGGTGTTGACCTGCACGATCTTCACACCCGGGTTGTAGGCCTTGACCATCGCCATGTTCCTGGGCTCCGCACAAAGCTACCACAAGGCGAAAGCAAGCTTGGGAAGGCGGGCTTCGAAGGCCCCTGTGCCTGCCAGTGCTTCCTAATGCCTAAGCCCTCAAAAAAAACACACCTATGATTCGAGTCGCGCGTGCTTACGGTGTTTGCAACGTGGCGCGACGGGGCGATGAAGAACCCGAGACGACCGCACCAACGCGGAGCTCGCGATCTTTCGCCGCACTCTGAAGCCCTTTGCCTTTATACCTTCCTCTCACGAAGAATGAGCCGTATTGCCACCCGGCTTCCGCTTGAGGATCTTCACCGCCGTGGGGTGGAAAAAGGCTGCCAGCGTGAACTCGGCATCCAGAGTCGTGAAGCCTTTGAAGTTCAGCCTTGCTCGCAGGAGCCTTTGGAATTCGGAGACTTGGTCCATCTCCTCCCGAAGAGCAGCAGCCTCCTCCTCAGTGATGTCAATCTTCACCACCTGCTCAATGAGCGCATGCCCTCGCATGCCCGTAAAGGCAAACCAGTGCCTTAGCCTATCGCCCCGAACATCTCTGAAATTCTGGCACTGTTGCAAACGTCCCTTTCCATCATCTGTACCGAGTAAACTGAAGCTGTGGGGTTTGCTTCCGTGATCTGGATATGGGTGAGAGTCTGTCCCTATTGGAATATGGGGCTCGAAAGACGGGCGCTTCATCTTTGGCAGCTATCCAATTCACTAGTTTCTTTGATGCCCCAGAGAAAGATCACACAAGAATGAGCACGCCGACAAGGGGAAGCTTGATTGGTGTGCAGCTCAACATCATTGTGTCCCTGAAAACCCTGTCACGCAGCCCGCATCTCAATCTTGGTTCGCCTGTGACCGATAAGGCTTCAACTTTCGCTGGACCGCAGGAATGTACTCCACGTCCTGCTGCGACACTCGTGCCGAAGCAAAACGGGCCGACAAACAACACACACACACACAGACACATGCCTAATCCAATCCTAATCCCCTGGATTTCGATCCTTCTGAAGCGTCTCCATGAAGCGCGGCCAGTAGCTCTCCTTCTTTGAGGAGATCTTGTATGATCTCTCCGAGAAAGAGTTTGCTTGGGAACCCGAAGCTCTACGGCACACTTTCTCTGGGGTGAAGCATCCAAGGAACCATCTCAGGGCTCATGGTGTAGTTCGACACGATGTTGTTCCTCAGCAGCCGGTCTTGCGTAGGGGCGCGAAGCGGTCAAGCGGGTTAAAACCCCTTTTATATATATATATATACATGGCATATACATATATATATATATGTATACTACGACAAGACAAGCCTACAGCCTGCTCCGGGATCCACCAGGTCTCTGGAAGGCGATGTTCTGGTCCAAAGCATGGTTGAACATGCCCTCGACCCGCACCAGCTTCGGATGAGAAGGTTGCGAGCTCGCGTCTTCCTCCAACATACTTCGTGTCGAGATCTCCGGTCCTGCCAACACGGCTTCTTCTGCCTCCTTGTGCTGCCTGTGCCTTGCCCCACTACACGGCACATGGCAGATGCCTGTCATGAATGCTGTTGGAACACACCTGCACTTGCATGCGTTTGCAGCAGTGCACAAGCAAGGACAGCTCCTTCAAGCTCGTTCAGCAGGGCTTGCCTCAAGAGGCGGCATTTGCGTGCGCCGAAAAGTGCATCAACACAGCGCCAGTCGACACACTCAACACGACCTGAAACAATACAGGGAGCCCAATATCCCACACACGAGCGTTGCCTGAATCAAGCCGGCACTAAGCCAGCCGGCCGAGTTGCAAAGGTGGCATCACATATTTGCATGACACCGTCGCCAGCAAGGACAGGACAATCACAATCTGCATGATCCTGCCCAGATCAAAAGCACCCGCAAAAAACACAAAAAACAGCAGAACCAGGAACCCTTGCCAGCACCAACACCGTCCTGCGGCGGGTCGCGAGATCCCGTGACGGAAGGGTCGGGCACGTACCAATGCGCTTGGGCCAAAAAGGGCTGGGAGTTTCAACTCGGATCCAGGATGCCTGGGCCAACTTGAACAGAGGAAGCGATTGCATCGCAGGCACTAAGCCAGGAGGTTGATTGGCTGAAATATCCGAACTGCATACATTGGGGTGTTCGCATTGTCACCGGGCCGATCTCATTCTCAAGACGCCGATCAACGGAATAGAGGGGTTTCGTTGCTTCATGCTTTCTGGGCAAGTGGGCCGGCTGTAGGCTTCAATATCGAAGAAATCGAACAGGTTGAAGACAGCAAAATGTGTAGCGAGGATTCTCGTTTATCCGCCGACCCCCCGAATCATCGTTCTAAAGCCTTTGTTGTTTTCCTTCCACAGCTTACGCCCACCCGCCCTACCCCCCTACCCCGCCTACCCCAGGTTTAGTGTTTGGGTTTTGATCTTCGCGTTCAGCCTCTCAAGTCCATGCATTCACTAGTCGAGCGGCTTGTGAAGCCTCTTTACAGCATATATACAACCAAACCGTGACTGCCTGCCCCCCTCACAACCCCACCCTTCCTCTCGCACCCGTTCTTCTATGTAAGGAGTCGAAACATGTCGATAATCGCCCAGACACTGGGCACCCAAAGGCGCATCACTCCCCCCCCCCTAAAAAAGTATCCGGACGCAGACATAAAGTTGGAAGGGCCGTTAACTGCATCTGGCGACATGAAGGAACCCCACACAATATCGAAGCCGGATGACTTGCAACCTGCTGATCTGGTCTGCCCGTTCATTGTGGCACTTGTGACAAGAGGCCAATGAGTGAAGAACCTTTCCCTGAGAATCCATGGCTTAGACTGTATTGAAACCGCCGCTGCCAGAGCATTTTTCCCCACGGTCTCTCAGCATTTAGGAGTCGGAGGAGTCAGAGCTTGAGCTGTCCGAATCCGAGTCGTCAGAGTCCTGGGCGCTTGCTGATATGTCCCAAGTTTCGTGCGCGGGGACTTCCACCCCAGTGCAACATTATGTTGAGACAAAGGCCACCACACACGTGGCATGAAAGACATGAGCATGCCACTGCCCAAAGTAGGGGCGCTTGCATTTCCAGTCGGCTGCCGTTGAAAGATGTAGCAGAATCCAAGTGACGCAACTCAGAAAGTAGATTGCAACCTTTAGATGTCACATCGACATGCAGCCTCAAAGATGTTGGGGTCAACGGACGGCTTTTGTCGCAGTTGCAGGCCCTTGCCAACGAATCACAAAGCACTTAGCAGAACTAGCTCCAAGAAAAGACGCAACGAGCCCGAGCACAAGCCCAGCCCAAAACTTCAACCTCCGACCCCCGAACCCTGAACTAGACCTTGACAGGCGCCCTGAGAGCCAGGCATCCGAGTCGGAGTCCGAGTCGGAATCTGAGGAGCTGGAGCTGGATGATGATGACGAGGACTCCTCAAGCCAAGGAGGGTCGAAAGTGCGGTCTGCGCCGACATGTCCACAAACCCGGCCTTCTGAGTCTCTAGAAATGAAACCCAAACCACACAAACTCCAGAATACGACCCCGGGATTGGGGCCAGCGTCTTGCAGGGTTTGGAGAAGGTTTTTGGGGCAATGGGGAACCGCAGGAAATTGATCCATGCAAGTCTAACAAGTGCTGCGGAGCTGCATCCATAGCCCTCTCCTCTGCCGCCTCAGGTGGTGGATGCAGGAAGGGAGGGGCGCGATGGGGCCCGGTGGTCCGAGTTCCAAGGCAAGAAGTCCTCAAACCTAAAGCCCCGCAAGCCCAGATGCTCCGAAAGGGTGAGGGCCAGGCGCTCAAAGCCAACAAACACATGGCATCTAACCCCATCACTGTTCTTGATTTTTTCAGGCACTTAGGGCTCCAAATGAGGGTGCCAGGTGCTCAGTCGGCTTCACGAGGCTGCAGCGGTAAACCCTTACACCCTCCAAACACCTCTGTCCACTCGAACCACAGCTGACACCAACAAACCCCTCATATCTAAGCCGTAAGCCCTATAAACCCGAGTCCAGGCTTCCTCGAGGGCTCAGGATCGCCAACCCCAAATCCTTTAACAATTGAACCCTATAGGTACCTATAGGCTAGGTCCTAAGCCTGAAAACTCCAAAGCTGATCCCCCAACGCCCCCCTCCGGGATCTTGCCCTCAAAGCCATTCTTTGTCCAGGTTCTTAGGGGCCTTCTTTTCTTTTGAGACTCTTAGTTGCTCTGCTACCCACTGCTTGCTTGACTGCTAAAGACATCTTGGCTCCCCGACCCGCTGCGCTTCGTGGGCGGCGCGGGCGTTGGCCTCTTCGAGGAATCCTCGCAGGTCCTCCGTTTTAGGCAGCGGGTTTGGGGTTTGGGGTAGAGGGTTTCAGGATCATTGAAGAAAAAGCGTTGGGTTTAGGATGTAGAGCCGGGCACAGCGCTTGAAAATTCAGCCTGCTGTTGAATGATATCAGTTGCATCTCCCTCCACCCAGCTCCAAACTCTCTAGCCATATCCTGCCGAAACCGGTGGGGTTTTGGAGATTCGAGCTCAAGATTCGGGATTCGGAAGCTTCTGCTCTCGCCCCAAACAAAAGGAAGCCCGTACTATTTGCAACGAAACCCTAAGCCAATCCATGCGACCCGATGCTTGGCGCCTCTGTGAGCACTCCCAGACCGATCGCGGTGAAGTAGTTGATCGCAAAGCGCACGTTCTTCGGGTGATCCTTTCTTTGGGTTTATGAGTCTAGGGATGTCTAGGGCTTCTGGGCTGTGGGAACTCAGGCTTTCAATTCTAAAGCTCGAGCTTTGTGCCGCCCCCCTGCACGTCCTTTGGGAAAAGGCCGGTGAAGAAAGGCTTGAGCTCATCCTCGTTCAAGCGGTCGACCAGCTTTTTCACACCCCACCTTTGCTGAAGTTCTCTGGAGAGGTCGTTCAGCGCGTGGGTACTTTAGGATATTTGGTCAGCTCTTGTGACATGAAAGACTCAGGTTCAACCCCTCAAACTGGAGCAGAGTGAGATTCGAGTGACTTGTGTCTACTCTCAGTCAATGAGACTCAGGAAAGCAAAATTGGTACGACTTGCAGGAGGTTGGGGGGCCGGGGGGGCAACAGGGCTCCAAAACCCCCAGCTGAGACCCTACAGTGCACAGTGTCAGTCTGCTCCCAGCAAAGATCCGTGCCCCGAATGTCGATTTCTGGAAAAGTCCGCCAGGTCCAAGCTCCCGGCTGTTCGGAAAGCTCTTGGAATATCACCTCGGCTACGCTTTTGGGTATCAAGATTCACAAGGCTTTCTATCCCCTGAATCCTTGACCCAAAACTTAAGCCAATGGGGATGCGAACTTGCAACTCTAAGTTAAATGCTGAAACCCTGCACCTCTCAAACCCCAAATTGCTCTGGGCTCCATCCCACAACCAACTTGCAGAGCCACCTTTATGAAGATACGGGAACTCGAGGTAGTGGTGTCCTCCGTGATCTTCACCTGGCTTTTCGAGGTTAGGGCTTCCAGAGCTTAAGGTTTCAGGGTGTCGTGTCGGGGTTCAGGGCCTATTTACGGTTTATACGGCTGCCACGCGTAGATTTTTATAGCGTCCCGCATGCATCTGGTTCCCTGAACTCTTCAGTCTAAAGGATCCCCTCGGAATCTAAAGTCTCCTGCGCAAGTTTGTCAATCCCTGGCTCCCTAAAACATCGACCCCGAGACAGAACTAGTCGCACAAACCCTGGTGTTGTGGAAGCCTATGCCTTAGGAAATCTCCCGACTCAACTGTCATGTCAACTGACGCTGAAATTCCTGCGACCTGCCGGGTTAAGCCCATCCAAGAAACACAGGAGCAAGCGCGAGAAAGTGAGATAAACAGCAAACAAATTAGCAATGCAATGAGAGACATAGAAAACGAGAACGACAGAGAAAGAGAGAGAGAGAGAGAGAGGGAGAGAGAGAGAGAGAGAGAGCGAGAGCCAAGAAGAGAGAACGCTGCCCCGCCTGTGCCCAAATGCTCCAGGGGATCGCGTCCTCCCCACTGGTAGGTACAAGGCTTCATGTTTCGGGCGTAGGCTTCGGAGTTGAAAGCTTAGGATGAGGTGGCTTTCTCGCACTGAAAGGTTCTGAGGTGAACGACTTCTTTCTCTCTTCCGTCCAAGCATCATAGTGCCTCAGTTTACCTCCTACTAGTAGGGTCTGGTATGCCCTTGCCCTTGCTGCCAACCCCCAAACTGCGAAGCTGGAGAGCACCCCATCCTAAGAACAACCTTGGGACACATGGGTAGCTATAAGACTCCGGTCAGAAGTCGGAAAACCTGTGAACCCCCAAGTAGGTTCTCCATAACCTCCAAGCCCAGGCTTTGGGGCGTTAAGTTGGCTAGGCTTGGCGCAAAGGCTCAGCGCTTCTTCAGGCCTTGTGGGGCACGGCTCAAACGCATGTTTTGGGGTATTGGGGTCATTGAGGGCCGGCCCTGCACCCCAAACCTGCACCGATCTCGCTTTGAGCAGTTGGAACCCATGAAGCTGCATCAGAGCAGTCCGTGTACAAGAGGTGCGCGAAGAACTTTCCGATGTTGCGCAGCTTGTTGGTCTCTAACCTCGCTCGGGAGTCGCGCAGCGAGGGAAGCTTGGGCCCTCAAAGCCTTGCGGAAAAACGAACAACATCCAAAATCCCTCAGAGGCATAGGCCCAGACCCTGAACAGGGGCCCCCGGCACCCTAAACTTCAGCCGAACACAAGGTAGAAATCATCAACCTCACTGAGGCTTCGGGGCCTCCACAACCCCAAGGACCCAAACTCATCAAAGCCCTCATGAGGTCGCCTGTGTACTGTGTTGAACTGGATGCCGAAGGACTCCGTGAAGTTGTCCTGCTGCACTCGGAGCCAGATTGGGCAGACACTGAATAGGGTTTGGGGCAGCAGGAAAGCTTGTGGGAAAGTTATCCTTGCCAGCTGCTCCCCGGGTCCTGATAGACGGGATTCAGTCGGCACAGACGCTCCGCCTATCCAGGACAACACTTCGGCAAAACCTCGGGGTAACCCTCGAGCTCTTTTCTCAAAGTCGCTCTTGCCGATGACCTCTACCTGGCAAGCCTTGGCCAGGAACCGAGCAGTGATCCCAAGCCTGAAACCCGACGCTCTAAACAACCATAAATCCCTGTAAGCTCTAAACGGCAGACTACTGCACAAAGTGGCCCCTAAAATCCTGCGACTCTGAGAAGCCAGTTCTCACCGTCTTCCTCCGGCCTGGAGAACGAAGAACCTGCGCAGAATCAGCGGTGTGGAGTTGTCCAAGGTTCTCGTGCTTCGGGAATCATCCAGCTGCCCAAGTGCATGGTTATCCTAAGTATCCCGCAACATCCCTAAAAGACCCAGGCCCCACGTGCAAAGCCCGAAGCCTGAAGAGGGCAACCCACACCCAGGAGCGCCACAGCGTAGAATAGTTGGTAGTCCAGTAACCATAATGTGCTACGAGGGACACCCAGGAGCCAAAAAGGGCAAAACGGTACCGCTGGGCTACCCGAAATACTACCCTACGAAACTCTTCAACGTTTAGACCCCCCTAAATGTCCGCCTGTTGAACATCTTCTCCATGGCGCAGCAGTCAATGAGCATGGTGCAAACCTGAGAGAAAGCTCTGCGAAATTTCGGCTTCAGGGCACCTGCACCTGGGCTTTCCTACCCTAAATGGGGGTCCATGTGCTGGCGAAGCTTAGACGAGATTTTCTTGTAGCAAAGCCCCGAAGTCCCACTTGGGAAACAACCTTGAGCCCGCAGGTCGGGCCTCCTTCTCCTGGCCCTCTGCGATGTTCAGCTTCAGGATCTTGTGCACGCACTCCTCGGGCCGTGTTCTGTTTGTGGTTATCGAGTTCTGAGTCAACCTGATTGCGCATTTTACCTCTCCGCAATCTGCACAGCGATGTGCCTTCTAGGTGAGAGGTGCCGATGCAAGCTAAGCCCAAATCCTCCCAGCCCCAAATTTGCTTTGGAGACCCCGGCGCCATGACGAACCCCCGAGCCACAGGCCGCCCCAATTTTGTTCATACTTCTTCCGGTGGAATCTTCTGTGGTTTCGGCTTCAGGGTTGCCACCATGCCACACTCAAAACCCTGAACCCTAGTCTAACCCCTCTGCGCCTTGCCTCGTAGTGCACTGAGGACATGATCACCAGGTAAATGGACCTCTGCAATCAGTCTGGGACCCTGAACCCCCGGATTTAAGCACAACAATATTCAAGGCTATGCCGGCTAAAGCCTGTAATATCCCCCCTAGCCTAAACCCCTGTTCAGGTGTGTCCTCTATGATCGTGAAGCCTAAACTAAACAATGCACTCTGAACCCATGATCTGCTGCAGACAGTCATCTCACACCTGAAGCGAAACTCGAGTTATCTGTAGGCTGTACAAGGTATACTTATAGACAGCAGAGCCGGGTTCGAAGTCTGAAGTCTGGCGCCTAGGGTTTCAGCACTCGCTACGAGCAAAGCTATCGGCTGCGGCCGTTTCGCAACCCCACTGCCTTTGCCCGATACCTCCCAACATTAAGGGTCTCATCGGGCGGAACCTGAATCCAGAACATGTCTCAATTGCCTGCAGCTAGAGTCACATGAGCCTCACAGTCTTTGACGGCAAGGCCACATGAAGAAGGGGAGGAACGGGGTCGTGGTGGGATGTGGCGGGATGGGAAGTGGCCTGCGCAGGTTGACCAAGTCTTGTTCCGTAAAGTCCAAGATCTTCTCCTGAAGAAACTGGCTGCTGAGGAACGCCAGGGGCATGATCCTAAATCTCAAACCAGCCCAAACCGTACACTCTTGTGGACTGGGGACTCGTGCCGGATGCTCAGGAGGTGCTTTCGAGGTTCGGGTTTCGGGGGATCTGTGATTGATTGCCAGTCAATAGGTCTTACACGGAAGGCTCCTTGCAGTACGAACTCACATTGCAGTTGGTGAGCCATCAGAACATCCACAACTCATTAGATATTGAGGGTCGGCGCACACTCTTCAAATTTCTTGAAGGGTCTAGAACTATTCTGATCATAATTTGTTGATGAGGTGGACTCCAACCAAGTGCTACACATTGCAGAAGGGTGTATCATGTCAGGAACAACCAAATAGCTGAATCGAGCGAGGTTCTTAGGCCAACAGCTAACAAGCAAGCATATTGCACTTGGAAGGGCAAACAAGTAGAATCTCATTTCCACCAACGTTTGATGGGAATAAACAAGTCAAACACAACCGATGAAAGGTTAACTAAGCAAATTTAAAACTGCCATGCAACTTGCTGCAGGCGATTCCTTGGGTTTGTCCATGTCGTCCTTTCTTTCTGCTCTTGTTTCTTTCCTTGAATTTGCCTTTCGTTCTGTCTCCATTGTGCAGAAGCGCAGAAGCTCAGAAGCCAGCAAGCCCAAAAGTCGAGAACACTCCCGGAACTACAGCCAAATCTCAGAAAAGAACGACAGCAGCTATCAAACAAGATGAAACTCCCACCAGAAGTCAGGCAGCCCCAAAAACGAGAAGCGAAGCCACCGAAAGCCGGGAATCTGACCCAAGAAGCCACAAAGCCGTGAAGCTGTATCAGTGCTGTTTGGCATGCTTTATTTTACGGTATGTGGAGCTCCGAGCTGTGAACTTTTACCTTCTCGTATCTCAGTGCCTCACATTCCGTAAGTCCGAAAGCAAAACAGGTTCGACAATGACAAAACACAGTGATCACCCGTTTCTCTTTGTTGAGCACATGCCTCAGTCTTAGCCGTTTGAAAGGAACACTTCTCGTTGAAGTCTTGTTGTCCAGCTACATAGGGACCTGGCTTGCATTTTCTTTTCCAAACCTTAGGCTAGATAAGCCAGTTGCCTGCTAACGACAAGTGGATGCTTTTTGCGGCGTGGGAATCCCAATGGTGCGCTGTCCATCAGCCCAAGATACCGACAGCCCGGCAGCCCCCACTGGAACCCAACCTACCCACCATGAAGGCACCAAAACGCCCGTCTATTCAGCTGCCCAAAGACCTAAACTTCGCCCTGGCCGATCCTATGAGCCTAAATCCTAAAGCCCCTGAGCCCTCAGCCTTAATTCCGCTAGGCCCCTAAAGACCACGCAGGCCTGCGCCCGACGATCTGCAGCTGCATCAGCCTCCTCATCCGAGTCGTCACTGCTGTCGCTGCCCTCATCCTGGCCAATGAGCCAAAGCCACTTCCACCGGAACTCCCTCAACCCCCAACAACATAGCCTATTGAACTGCAAGCACTTATAAGAGATTAGCTCATGCGTTCTAGTTGCTGTTTTGTCTGGTTGGAGAGAGGAAGTGATCCCAGCTGTCAGACCAGTTCGGAGCAAACCCGCTAAAGCTGGGCTCTACACCTTTACCTTAAACTTAAACACACAACCCTAAGTACCAGCAGGGCTGAGCTTGGATTCGACATATTATGCCTTTTCTGCTTATTCTTGGGGGCTGCGAGGGGCTTAGGCACACGGCCTAGAGGGTTTATCCGGGGTTCAAGATGCTCAGGTTTCGCAGGGCCTACAGAATTGTGCGGGGTTCAGGGTTGATGGCTTTCGGGCGATGTCATCGTCAAGGAAACGGTCGTGAATCTGCAGAAGGTGGGCACATCTCAACCCCTCAACCCCTCAAACAAACATCCTCATGCAGAAAAATTGCCAAACCCTAATTCCGAATTCCCGATGGCCTGCTCCAAGCCTAGAATCTCGGTCGAGATGAGCTTCCACTTGGCCTGCTTACACGCCACAACGCGTGTGGCAAATATTGTTCGATCGTAAGACCGCGAGAAAGAAGCATGCATCTCAAAAAACCATTGAAAGGCTTTGGGCTTTGGGGTGTACCGTTTACGACTTGGGGTTTCGCAGGTGCCTTAAGTCGTGAGCGACATAATTACCATGCACCTTGTCTACGATGCCAAAGAACTGAAGGATATTTAAGAGATGCCTAGGCAGGTTTAGGGTTTTGACTGGGACGTGGGGGGCTGGTTCGAGACATGGTCTCGTCTCTGCGTATGTACAGCGAAAGCCGCGTAGTATGCATATTAGCATATTATGCATATAATGCATACTCTGCATATTATGGATGTCGACGTGAAGCATGCAGGCGGTGACGGATGCAACACAGGAGTACCACAGGCGGCACAAAGCTGGTTTGGGGGGGGAGGGGGGTGGCGCATGCCAAAAAGTCCGCCGCCTGCTGTGCATGGATGAGCATGCTGGAGATGCTTGCAAGCGATAACACGGGCTTGGGGGGGACGAGAGCAAGCAGACAATCCACTAGTTTTGCCAGACATACGAAGGTACGCAAGCACTGAGGCCATGTGCACCGTTGTGTTAAACAACCAACCTTGCAAAAGGGCAAAGTGTCATTGTGCTTTCTTGTTTCACCATGCCGCTGAGCAGCAAGTGTTGAAGATGTCGGTCAACAGACTGACACAAGGGTGGAGAGGTAAAGCGTGGACGGCGGACATGCCTCCAACGAAGGCCTGGAGATCTTCAATTCTTCTTTGACCAGCTGCTAAAGGACTTGACTCTGTGGCTCTCCTGCGTGCTTGGTTTCTCTCTGCTTTCCGGATTAGTGAAGTCGGTCCTGTCGCTGTAGCACCGTGCCCTCGGGATTGGGACTGCGATGGGCATCTTGACAGACGACTGGGCGCTAATGGTGGGCTCTGACTCAGGTTTCGTGAGCTCACGTCATGGCTTCGAAGGCCATTTTTTGTGAAGCATGCGTTTGACATCGGCTGCAGTCAGTTTTACGCATCAGTCTTCCTTCGGCATAAGCTTCAGCTGCGCATGTCTCTGAGCAGCAGTAGCATGCAGCAGCAGAACGAAGATCCTGTACTTGTTCATGGTGAGCCGGCAGGCTTAAATCCAGGGGTGTCACATGATCAATCGCCAAGGTTGTGTGCACCTGGATGCGCTTGACTGAGTAGCCTATTGTCTGTGCAGGTTGCAACATACACCACCATTGCGCTGATATGTCTATAACAAGCTCTATACCTCTATCTGGCCTCGATTCTGTAAACATCATCAGACGGCACAACCTGCCCGCCTCATCTGCGGCATACTGCTCAGGCGGAACCGCCTGGCAGCCGTCCCGAAAACATGAAACCCTAAACTCCACCCTCACCGGTTGAGGGAGCCTTGTCGGAAGACAGCTTCCGTTCTGCAGAGATGTTTGGGGCTTACACCCCTACAAACCAAGCCCCACACTCGTTTGAGGGTTCAGGGTTAAGCTCTCTGCACGGCACCTTCATACAAACTCTGAGAGCCCACCTCGCCCCCAAAGCTCAACTAAACCCTCAAAGTCCCAAAGCGGCCCTGGGCTCGAACTCGAGGGGTTGAGAGACTTGAGAGAGTCCCCGGAGTTTTGGTTTGATGGGAGCGCAGACAGGGTTCGAGGCCATGCCCCCTGCCTTGAAGATATTCAGAGTCTCTTCGCCTTTGATGGTCTCATCCAGAAGATCCACCTACGGCACGCGCGTTCTGATACCACCCAATGATCTTGGCTTTTCAAGCGCCCATCGTGTCAACCGAAAGCAGACAAGGAACCAACCCAAAGCTCACAACTGTTTACAACTTTTTGGCAACATCCACAAAGCACCACGAAAGTTCCCCAGACTCGGCATCTCAACGCCCTGAACCCTCAGCCTCCCGAGCCCCCTGAGGTTCCTGAGCCCTCTGAGCCCTCTGAGCCCCCCCCCCCCTTGAGCTCCCTGAGCCCTCAACTCAACCCACGCAACCCTCCTAAATCAGCACCCCATGCCCAATCGCATTCCAGGTCGACCAGCAGGCGCCTCATGCGTGATCTGGTCTTCATCCTCCACAAGGTCAAGCTCCTCCAGGACCTCTGAACCAGGACTTCAAGTGAAATCTGGAAACTGGTAGGAGGCGTGTTGCTATAACAGAAAGCCAATAAGCCCCGTTGGACTTCCAATCGCTCTGATCACCATGAGGGGCCCTTCATGGTTCTTACCATGTGCAGAATCTAGAGTGGAGGTTCTTAGGATCTCAGGAGGGCCCAGGGGGTATTGAGTGTTCCCTTCTTCCAATGATGTGCGTTCACCTTCCTGTGTAACCCTAAACCCTAAACCCCAAAATCAATACCCTAAACCCTAAACCCAAAGAGCCCACCAGTGAATTGGTTTGGGCTGCTGCGAAGGTTTCGGGCTTTGAGCGACATAGGGATGCCCCATCATGCCATGTTCGCCCGCTGCGCCGTTAACAAGTGCTCAGTTGCAGCATCAGAGGTGTGATGGCTGTAGTTTTGCAGGGCAACTAAACCTAAAACTTCTATACGCCACTTAGCGCAAACTGAAACCTATTCGTACACAACCTAGCACACCATGTCCTGTCTTGGCCCTAACTATACCTCTTATCAAACCGATGGTCCGCAGGCCTCAAGATCGTAGAAAACGCACGTCAGTACTTGAAGCATTCCGCCAGGTGGCCATGGGGTGATCCGAGAACTTCTTCCTGCGCGTTTCATAGAGGCCCTCGATGACGTACTGCACGCGCCTCGGAGATAAGGGACGGGGTTTCCAAAAGCCCTCTGAAAACCCTAAACCCAGGCAACCCCACAAGGTGAGCTTGGGATTTGGGAGGGTTTTGTGATTCTGTGATCCGTTGAGGCTTGGGGGTGTTGAGTTCAAACTCGTGCCCCTTATACCCCTAACGCCAACTCCGGGGATTACAGACGGACTCCCAAAACCTAAGCCCGAAAAACCCAACCGCGGCCAACCTGTGCCAATCCCCCCCCCCCCCCCCAAAAAAAAAAAAAACAATAACAAGACCTGCGAGGAGCCACGAACCCGAATGCAGATACGTATTAAGTAAACGGCAACCAAAAATGACAGAGTCCACAACACGAGATCCGAAAAAAGTGTTCTATCCGTCTCTCTCTTTCTCTCACTCTCTCTCTCTCTCTCCTTCTGTCTTTCTTTCATCCATCCTTTCTTGATTTATTCTTTTCTTCCTTTTCCATGTGTTCATTCTTTCTTTCTCTGTCTTTTCCTTTTTTCTTTCTTTCTTTCTTTCTTTCTTTCTCTCTCTCTCTCTCTGTCTCCCTTTGATCTCTCTCCCTCTCGCTCTTCTCGCGTCTCTTTCTCTCTCATCTCTTCTCGCCCTCTCATCTCTCCTCTCTTTCTTCTCACTCCTTATGTCATTCATTCATTCGTTTTCTTTGAGGTTTTTTTCATGTCATCTCATATCATTCCATTCATTTCCTTCATTTCAGTCATATCATACATGCCATTCGCTTCATTTCATTTCATTTCATGTCATTTCGTGTCATCTCATGTCATTTCATGTCATTCCATTTCATTTCCTTCATTCATTCATTGTGCATTTCTGTCTCTCTTCTTCTTCTTCTTCTTCTTCTTCTTCTTCTTCTGCTGGGCATGAAGGGCGCAAGCGCCCTCCGCTCGCAAGGCGCGCCCGAATCGTCCAGGTGTGTGTGTGTGAGATCAGGATCGGACCTCCCCCTTTTTTCACCAAGAACCCCTCCGACTCTGTCTCTCTCTCTCTCTCTCTTTCTTTCTCTTTCTGTTCAAAGGACCGTAAAAGAATCTTTAATGTAAGCCCGTGAGGTAACTTAATATGATGTAGAGCGCACATAAAACACCTTTGATCTTATTCCTGTTGCGTTTGGATTAGTTTGATTCGGGCGGTCACTAGACGTCTTCCGAGTTGGCGGCATGAACACTATGAACAGGAAAGAAGAACCCTAAACCCTAAACCCTGAATGTAACTAACATTCATGAAAAGCACGGTTTTTCCCCAAGGGCTTGTCACTCCATCAGCCCAAAGTGAGCGATTTCGTCCAGGTACCTCATCCTCGAGACTGTCGTCACGCTTGAAAGCTTCCATATCTATATATATATCATATGCATATTATATAATGATATATATATATGTATATGATATATGTATATATATATATATATCATATACATATATATCATTATATATATATATATATATCATATCATGTCATGCCATATCACATCAAAAAATATATACCTATATATATATATATATTCATATATATATATATATATGGGCGTCCGCCTATTGCGGTTCCCCTTATTTTTTAGGTTTACATAAATGCATATATTTTAACCCTAAACCATTGTTATAACCACAGCAACAAGTCGATGATGATGTAGGTACCCCAAACCTATAGGGTTAAGTTTGACAGGTTTAGGGCTTAAGATTCAGGCATTTAAACGTCAGCCCGCAATGAAACCTAAACCCTAACCGTTCAACCCGATAGAGTTAAGGTTAAGCGGTTAGGGTTTAAGATTTAGGAATTTTTAAACTTTAAACCTAAACCCATAGAGATTTAACCTTAAGGGTTGAAAGTTCGGGCAGTTAAACCTTAACCCTGAACCGTTTAGGGGTCAGAACCCTAAAACCCGACAGGGCTCTACAAGGAACAAAGGTTTTGACCCTAAAGGGTGCTGAAGGTATACATGCCCAGACCTTAGGTTTTCTTGAACCATTCAACCCTACAGGGTTTAAAGGCTTAGGGTTTAAGGTTTAGGCATTACCTGTACGATAGCACCTTAAAGCCCTATAGGGCTTGGCGCTTAGATCCCTAAACCTTGAATCCCATAGGGCTATGCCTACGTTTGTAGGGCTTTCTTCCCGGTGACGCGAGAATACTGTGAGCAAATGTCCTTTTCACTACTTCCTGGGCTTCAAAATATAAACAAACCATATCGTTATATGATAGAATTCAGGTTTTGCTTATCGGGGGATGGTTGCTTGAGCTATCTTAGGTAAGGTAAGGATTTTAGGATAGAGGTTTTGTTTTGCTTATTGGGGCGTGATGGGGTTACCCTCATGATTTACATGTATATAAATCAAACCCTGAACCATGGTTATAACCGCAGCAAGAAGTTATAAACTTGTCATAAAGAAATTTCCGCAGAGCTCGTCAAATCCGATCATGATGTAGGCGCCCCAACCCTAGAGGGTTAAGGTTGACAGGTTTAGGGTTGAAGATTGAGGCATTTAAACCTAAGCCGGCAATTCAACCTAAACCCGAACCTTTAAACCCTATAGAGTTAAGGTTTAAGGGGTTGGGGTTTAGGATTTAGGCATTTAAAACGAAAACTCGAAAAGTTTCAATCTTAAGTGTTTGAAGTTCGGGCATTCAGACCTTAACCCTGATTCGTTTAGGGTCAGAACCGTAAAACCCTATAGGGCTCCCAAAGGTTCAAAGATTTTAACCCTAAAGGGTACTGAAGGTATACATGCCCAGACCTTAGGTTGTCGAACCATTGAACCCTATAGGGTTTAACGGTTTAGGTTTAAGGTTTTGGCATTAATTACCTATACAATAGAACCTTAAAACCCCAGAGCGCTTGGGGCTCAAATCCCCAAACCTTGAATCCCATAGGGTTATGCCTACGTTTGTAGCGCTTTCGTCCCGGTGACGCGAGAATACTGTGAGCAAATGTCCTTCCACTACTTCATGGGATTCAAAATATAAAAAAAGAGGATAATTCAAGTTTTGCTTATCGGGGGATGGTTGCTTGAGCTATCTTAGGTAAGGTAAAGATTTTAGGAGAGAGTTTTTGTTTTGCTTGAGCTATCTTAGGTAAGGTAAAGATTTTAGGATAGAGGTTTTGTTTTGCTTTTTGGGGCGTGATGGGGTAACCGTTACCCTCATTTTCTTATAAGCTAATTTACATGTATATCAATCAAATCCTGAACCATAGTTATAACCGCAGCAAAAAGTTATAACCTTGTCATGTACATATATCCGCAGAGCTCGTCACTTTCACTACTTGCTGGGATTCAACATATACACAAACTATATCGTTAAATGATGGAATTCAGGAATTGCGTATCGGGGGATGGTTGCTTGAGATATTTTAGCTAAGGTAAAGTATTTGGGATATTTCGCTTGTTGGGGGCGTGATGGGGCTCCCCTTATTCTTATGGGTTTACATAAGTGTATAAAAATCAAACCCTAACCCATAGTTATAACCACAGCAATAAGTTATAACCTTGTCATATAGAAATTTCCGCAGAGCTCGTCAAATCCGATCATGATGTAGGCGCCCCAACCCTAGAGGGTTAAGGTTGACAGGTTTAGGGTTTATGATTGAGGCACTTAAACCTAAGCCGGCAATTCAACCTAAACCCGAAGCTTTAAGCCCTATAGAGTTAAAGTTTAAGAATTAGGGTTTAAGGCGCAATCCCATATAGTATACGTATACTTCTGAGCAGAAAAGATACGGGAGACACTGCTTGCGATTCAGAATATTCGGAGCAGAAAGGATACAGGGGACACTGCTTGCGAATCAGAAGTTTAGGAGCAGAAAAGATGCGGTCGAGGTACCTCGGCAGGAGCACCATTAAACCATCAAACCATTAAACCAATAAACCATTAAACCATTGAACCAATGGTTTCCCCCTTATGAGAATCCCCTATGCTATTAAACCATTAAACCATTAAACCAATGGTTTCCCCCTTATGAAAATCCCTTAAACCATTAAGCCATTAAGCCATTAAGCCATTAAACCATAAAACCATTAAACCATTAAACCAATGGTTGCCCGCCATGAAAATGGTTTAATGGTTTAGGGGATTCTCATATGGGGGAAACCATTGGTTTAATGGTTTAATGGTTTAATGGTTTAGGGGATTTTCAGAAGGGGGAAACCATTGGTTTAATGGTTTAATGGTATGGTTTAATGGTTTAATGGTTTAGGGGGGAGACCGTTGGTTTAATGGTTTGAGGGATTCTTGGTTAGATGGTTTAAGGGAATGTGCAAAAAACACAGGGGAACCGCTATAGGCGGTGACCCATATATATATATATATATCACATATATATATATATCATATCATATGTGTATATATATATATTGCATTAAAAGACACGGTTCTCCCCCTGCCAGGGTGTGCTCGAGGTTGTCACTTCGTGAACCAAAGTGATCGCTTGCGAACTCTTCTTTCGATCGCTTTGTGAATGCACAATGCACGCCGACCGAAAGCTCCCCAACCCCACACCTCATCTTCAAATGGGACCCCTTCTGCTTCGCATTCGCGAAAAAGCCGAAGCTTCTGAAGGATCTAGGCTCGGCGCTTGTCGATTTCTCCTTCGTGCAGAATGGTTCGGAACCTCGGCAGAGGCGCATCCCCTGACCTCAATACAACAACTATGCGAAACTATGGGGTTCATGAGGGTTCATGGCTTGGGATTGAAGGCGTTCAAGGTTCAAAGGGCTTCATTTGAGCTTTGATGTGCGGCTCCCGCGGCCTGGCAGAATCACGAACCCTGGAGCAACCCCAGGTTTGGGGTGGAGACTTTGGGGCTAAGGTCTGGTAAGTTAGGGCTTCGGATCTGGGCACTTCGGGGTTCAAGTCAAAATGCCCTAAGGAAGGCGAACTTCCCAGTGTTCGGGCAGGGATTTGTTTCACATAAGACTGGCCAGAGAGAATACTTGCTGCAGAAGGAACCCGATTTTGTACAGGCGCCACCGAGGCTAGCGTGAGACATTCTTCGAAAGTTGTCCTAGCCTGTTTCACGCATTGCTCGGGCGAACTCATCTCTCGTCGAGCAGAGACTTGCCGCAAGGTGCCAGTAGAAGTCTGAAGAAAAGCGGTATTTTCTATCGACTGGATGCCAGACGACAGCATACGCCCCTGCCTCATTGATGCAGGCCATCGCCTCATCCGGCCAGAATCCCTGAGACATGTCGCTGTACATAGCGCTGTCGCTGATGCCTGTGCCATCACCTATTTCTTTGTTTTCTAGCAGCTTCCGGAGAAGAATCCGCCCCACAGGAATGCGTGCATCGAGTCTCTCCACGTAGCAGGACAGTAGGCACCATAATCGGTGAGTTGCACACCATTCGAGTTTCTCCTGGACCGTCACCAGAGGTAAGCCTTCGGCCAGCCACCTGCAGGCTGCGCTGAGATCAAGGACATTCCGGCCACCTGACACGAGGCTGTAACCAGGCTTGACGGTGAAGCTAAGACCCATGGGGAAGGTTTGGACAAAGTTTCACCTAAGCCGATGTGTCAAGGTGCTGTAGGACTCTTGACATTGTGACCCGCAGGAATCTTCCGACTGGTTCCTGCACGAAACGGAAGAAGACGGAAGAAATCGCAAGAGCACGAAGAACATTGTACATATGCTGGCCGTGCGCAAGTATCAATGACGGATTGTGCGGCATCCTGATGCCCATTCAGCTGCAGCATCGACACCGCCTCCTCCTTCAAAGACTCTTCTTTCCGGTTTCAGAAGTTATCATAGGGCCTTCGAAGGTTAGATTTGGAACGATGTAAGGAGCTGGACCAGGGCTGTAAAATCCCCATGACAGATTAGCCCTGAAATTCTCGCAAGCCCAGACCTCTGTCAGATCCTCAACGACGATGTGCCTCCAGCTGACATAAGACTGGCGGAACGCCAGTCTGGCGCAGGCCTCCTCGTCGGTTGCGACTACGAGAACCTTGCAAGGCTTGTAAGTCCTACATCGTAGCAACCCGCATCGCGTGCTCCCTTCCATCCGATATCACCTCCAAGCCCCTAAACCCTCCAAGACCATGTACACTTCACTGGGCGCCCGGGAGCCGGACCTGTTTCAGTAGGCCAAGGGTCTATGAAACGTTTGCTCGGCGAGGGTCTTTGACAAAGACACCGGCGCGGTAAGAACACTTCGTGAGGCGCCGCCCCACCCCCCCACCCGCCCGAAAAATTGGAGGTAGGAGGGAACCACGAGAATACCTAAATTAGGTATCGCTCCTCCTCCTGTCTCCCTTTTCTGTTCTTTGAGATCTGTCGATATTTTTGTTGTAGACAGGGGAAGGGAAGGATGGGGAGAGGAAGGAGCGGGGAGATCAGAAAGAGGGAGAGAGAGAGAGAGAGCAGAAGAGAGAAGATAGAGAGAGAGAGAGGAGAGAAACTGCTTCAGTACTGCACACTTAGACTAAACTCCAAAAAGTTGGAACGTCCTTCTCTCCATACCCCAACAGGTATACTAAAGGGAATCTCAGCTCTCATCATCCTTTAACCATGTTCCAACTTTCTGGAGATTACTGTAAGCCCATCGGCGTGAGCGAGCTGCAACTTCCTGGACAGCTCATCCGCCTTCAGGGATCAGACCACTCTTCGTTGTTCCTTTCCATTTTTTGGGAGGCAAGCTTCGCGGATTTGGCCTTGGGGGTAAGATGGCATTTTTTCCAAGTCTCTGCTCTGGTAGTCAAAGTCAGGTGATGAGGTTCGCACTGATTTGGGTATTCAGGCTTCGCAGTTGACGAAACCCAGAACAACCTGAGATGCTTTCATCTACTCTACCAAACCGAGGCAACGAGAACGCAAAGCTCCAAAACCCTGTGTCCTAAACCCGTTGATCATACTTTATAGAAGGACTGTCAGGATGCCAAAGCCCACTTGTTTTTTAACTGTCCGGGCTTGGGATTTCGGGCCCTCAAGCCCTAGACCCCGAAGCCCCGGCCCGATGGCCTTGCCGGCCACAAAGCGTGTGACACCTCCGTGGCTCACTTCAACAGGCTCTTGCATCGGTTGTGGCTAAGGCCAAGGCTGATTCGGGTTTTAGGTTAAGAGCTGGGTTCAGAGCACCAAGGGGTTCTCAGGGTGTAGCGAGGGCGTGCTTAAATGGGATTGAAGGTTTACGGTTCAGGATTTGTTTGGGGCACTCATTCCCGGGCCTGCAGCAGTCCCAGGAAGGCGAGGGATCTCGACAACAATGACAGGCACCTCCAAAGCGTTTGCCATGTTCTTATGGGGAATCGCATGCCTACACAGAGAAATGCAAAATCAGTCTCTGCACCTTCGTCAGGTTGTCTGGATGCTTCAGAAGCTCGTCACGCACACGACGGAGCGTGGTGTGAAGGATCCAGTACCCATCGACACCGAGCTCTCTGTAGAATTCTTCGAGCCAATTCTCACCCCTAACCAATCCATTGAACACAAACACGCTGCGGACACCATTAAGAGCATGCTGCCGTGCCCACGTCTTGCCGCTGCCATAGGGTCCGCTTAGCAACGTCGGGCCGTAACTCCACTTCTTGATCCGGTCCCTGATGACCTTCTCGACAGGCCGTTCGACCAGGGGCCCGTGGGGGTACTCCTGTGGCTGCATGAACTTTTGGACTGCCTGCCGGATCTGGTGCTCCTTTGGATCAAGGGCGTGTCGTGCATCCTTTGGATTCCGGGAGCGTCGTGCAATGAATATCCCTGGCAATGCAATGGCAATGGCCACTGTGGCAGCCACACTCAAAACCGTGCACAGGTCACGCAGGTCAAGCGGGCTCTTGGGTGACATTGCCGGTCGGCCCACTCTGGCAGGCTGGCTGTTGAAGCATGAGTGTCTTGCCGACAAAACGAATGACATGGCGAGGTGCGGGTCTGTCAACATTTCGAACTGGCTACAGCTGTGAGGAACATGTGACGGAGGTTCATGGATGCTCGGTTATCACCATATATCTGTCAAATACAGACATCCTACAGTGTCCTACAGCCACACACTTACAGCTACCCATGAACCAAGGATTGTCGACACCATTGTCCACACTCAGTCGGCAACCGCTCGAAGATAGCCTGACAGCCAGCCTCAAGGCGAGATCGGGTTCCGTTTCGGGCAGATAGCCTAGCATAGGTTTAGGGTTCGAGGGTTCAGGGGTCGGGCCGTGATCACCAACACCCTTTGCCTTGCCTACGCCCTCCTGGAACGTGGTTAGACTTTTCGATACTTGTAATTGTCTGACCTTAATGTTGTCAACTTCTGTTGCACTCAGAGACGAAACAGAAGAATATTCGACGAGGGCCCCAGCAAAATCACCCCAGCAGGTTTCCAAAATCCCCATCTCGTCTTAGTCTTCCTAGGTTGAGTCAACGCTTAAACTTCCAGGGTCTAGGATTGTAGCGTTGAAGCTTGGTAGATAAGTGAGGTTGAAGAAAACCCGCTTCGCATGAAATTAACAGCAGCTCCCCTAGGCGTGAAGGCTGACCTTGGACAGCTCCTCCAGTGCTTGCCCCACTTCCTGTCAGGGCTTGGGCTTTCGGGCACTTGTTTTGTGCTTTGCTTGCCTCAGGGTTTAAAGGATTCTGGTGGCCATCAAGAGCTGACTTCCTGTGCTCAGGCAGAACACCCATGCCTAAAGTCGGATTTGCGCGGCCAAGGTTGAGAGCTCCTTACTTGGCTAGGATCTACTAAGTATTGGGGGGGGGGGGTTTTGAAGGGTGCTACCCTGTATGTCGCCCATCGCGCCGGTGCCTGGAGGAAACTGACGCAGACTTCGATGGAGTCTTCGGTGACCCGCTCCTGGTGTCATCGAAGGCATGGAGTTGAGCTTGTTGGAGGCGTATAGGGTGGAGTTCAGGGTTCACGGCTTCTTGGGGAGGTTATAGGGGGTTGTTCGAAGTTGAGGGTCTTAGGCTTCAGGGTCCCCGAGGTTTTGGGCTGCTCGGAAGGATCTATATTGCGGCTTGCTGAATCTGAGATACTTCGGGGCCTCTGTTGGTCCGGAGCCCACGCGCTGCGAGCCCGGCTTCAAACACCCGACGAATAAGTCGAAAAGCCCGTTTCGAGTGAAAAGTGTGCCGAGCTCATCAGAAAGCCCTTTGAAGCTCTACTTGAATGTGCAACCTCCAGATTTCCCACCTCTCTCTAAACCTCTATACAACATCGAAAAAGCTGAGTTCCAAACCCTAGATGCACAATGCCTCAACCTCATTGTGCCTGAGCTGGTGCCCCCAGTCTCTGCGCCCGCAAACCCAGTTTCCCCCTGCGGGCGCCAGCAGCAAGGTCGCTATGTGCAATGCCAGGAGCTCAGATGCCACCTTGACAGGGCCCAGGAGGCGAGCTTGCTGAGTCAGTGGGCTTCAGGCCCAGAAAGCACCTTTATGAATTTAGCTCGCGTGCCATGCCCTTGGACCATGATAGAGCTCGCAGGCCAACACTGCTAGAAGGTCATGGGTACCTATAAGTAGGGTTCATATCAGAATGATCCCTGGATTTCGAGGAAGTGTTTTTTTACCAAAAAGCTTCAACCCTACTTTTAACCCATGAACCTCCGAAGAACCAAGTAGGGCAGGTCAGGGTGCAGAGTGCATCAGCATCAGCTTTAGGTTTTTCTTGGGTTTACGGCCTCCCCCTTCACACGGACAAAATGCGGGCCAGTGGTCCTTGAATTCAGGGTTTAGGCGTTTGGAGTTTAAGATTTAGTGCCTAAAAACCCTACACAAGCACCACCAATGCCCGCCTTCTGGTTCACTAAGTGGGCCATGAATCGGATAGCTGCGGTCGTGACGATCTTGTCATTCCTGTAAGCAGAGCCGGTTGAAACAGATGAGGGGTTTCCGGCTTTCATGCACAGGCTTTGAGGATCCTTTCATGCGGACCAGAGGAGTTAGTTTCTGGTCGCCTTCAAGAGCGAAATCTACAGGCTCCCACGACGTGTAAGCACTCAGCAATTTGGCTTCCCGGCCTCTTGTAGGCACGTCTAAACTGCAGAATCACCCGCCGGATCAGGAGGTCTCCCACTTCGGGCCTCAGTTGAAACGGAGGCACTACTGCGATTGTCATTTTTGGGTTGAGAAGCTTAGGGCCTGAGGGGCTTCAGGCTGAGGGCGCTTTGGGAAATTTGCTATTTAAGCCATGAATCCCAGCACTAGGATGCACTTTGCATTCACTCTGCCATCAGCCCTATAAACCCTACAAAGCCTATTCCAGCTATAAACCGTAGAGGTCCTCGACATGAAAGGCCACAAGAGGAAGGCCTTGGATTCGGGGTTTGGGTTTCAAGGTCCAACCTTGGGGCTGCCAGGGGGACCAAGTACGGCCGAGCGAAGACGGGTTACTAGGTCATAGAGCTTCGGGGGGTGGATGGCTAGTGACTGGGGCTGCAGCCGTGGCCTCAGCTTCCAGCGGACATCTCAGCAGAGGAGACTAACACCGAAGCCCTAAAACCCTCGACCAAAACCGGGCGCCCTTGCAGTTTCGAGTTGATCACGGACAGCAAGGCGGCAAATACCTCACGGGGGGAGGGGTTGGTTGGGAGGAGGGGGAGCTGAGGGTCTGGGTACAGGGGCTCAAGCAGCCCCCACACCCTTAACACATACTCAAGCCCTACTAAACCATAAACATCGTGGATCCCCACAGAGTCAGTGGTCTCCAGAATTGGTCTTGCTGTTCGGATTGTGCTGCATCTTCGTGGGCCCAGACCTATCTATGACCTGCACGAAGGGCGGTACACTTGCGATTGCAAACTCGAGAGGTCTCGCATGGCATGCTTTGGTTTAGGTTTAGAGAAACCCTCTAAACCCTCTAAGCCCTAAACCCGAAACCCTAAAGCTGGCACTGCTGCCAGGGAGCGTGGGTAAATCCAGGAGACGCCATCTGTGCTCGGATGAGCGCACCTTGGGGGACAAGCCAAACCTGCCCTAAGACCTACAGGCCTTGACCCTTAAAGCCCTCAGCCCTCAAGGGCTCATATGCTCGATGACCAGCAGCTAGCCTGTTGTTTCCGGGCGCTGCCGGGTTTCAAGGCTTGTGAGACAACACCGTGACCGCCCAAAGCCGCCCACGCGGACAAAGCGGACAACACCGTGACAGCCCAAAACCGCCCATTTAGGGCCTCAGGGACAATTAAGTGGTTGAGAGTAGGTTTTACGGTTTATTTGCTGAATAAGGCTTGGGACTTAGGGCTGCATCCAGCATTCGGGGCAAGACTTCGCCCCCCCTCCACCCCCCACCCCCCCCCCACAAAAAGTAAAAGATATATATGTAGAGAGAGAGAGAGAGAGAGAGAGACTGAGAGAGAGAGAGAGAGAGAGACAATAACAACAACAAACAACAAAAACAACCTTAAATGCCTTTATTTGAAGCGCAGGTCACCGCGCCCCTCAGCCCCTGAACCTACATCACACCTTGTCGCTGCAGAAGGTGTAAGGTTCAGTTTGTATAAGACATTGTACTGGGTGAGCCGCGCATGGAAAGCTGCCCTTGAAAATGGAAGCAAAGCCCTCTTATCCCGAAACACCCCAAGAACATCAACAGATCGAACTCAGCCTGAAGTGTGACATGTGCAGAGCATGCCCCCGGCCCTCTCAACCCCTCTAAACCCTACAAACCCTAACAAAGCAAACAAAAAAAAACAAAACCCCAAAAAAACCCTACAAAGCCCTGCAAAGCCCTCCTCTAATTCCCACTAAAGCCCTCTCACTGCTTTGACCTTCTGAGCCCGCCGCGCACCAAGAGTCCCCGGCCTCGCACCAGGTTCTCCTGGAACAGCTCCTGCCGCAAACTCATTAGGGTTTCGGGTTCCGGGTTTTAGGGTTTAAGGGTTTAAGGGTTTAAGGGGTTTAAGGGGTTTAAGGGTTTTAGGGTTTAAGGGTTTGAGGGTTTGAGGGTTTAAGGGTTTGAGGGCTTAGGGTTAGGGTGTTTAGGATTTACACATGGAGCTTAAGGGTGTTTGGTGCTTAGGGTGTCGAGGAGTAGCTTAAAGGGTTTGGAGGGCTAAGAGTTTACGACTCCAACTCTTGAGGCTTACCGTAGGGTATTTAGGGTTTAGGTTGTTGAGATCAGGGGTTCAGGGTATAGGTCCTTCAGGGTTTACGGTTCAAGATATTTAGGGCTAAGAGCTCGGGTTTTTGGATGTCGGGTGCCGGGTGGGTCAAGGTATTTGTTGGGTTTAACTCAGCTTTTCCTTGTGATGGTTGGGTGTCTAGAGAGCAAGTAAACCCTAAACCCTAACCCTAAACCCTAAACCCTAAACCCTAAACCGCCATTGCATGAAGCAAGCTGCACAACACTGATACCTCCGTGCTGTGAACACATCATTCATACGACTTGCAATGAAGAGCTTCAGATCCCACAACAAAGCCTGCGTGCCCGAGAAGGCCCTTTGCTCTAAAGAGCCTGGCCTCCACGATATTCTTGATATTGCCCACCTTAAGCTAGGCAGCTTTTCAAGGCTATCGGTTTTGGGAGCTGGGCCTCTGTCATTGATGATTTCAGACTGTTTAGTCGAGAAAATTCGGAGAGGTCCTTCTCGGCACTGCGGTTCGGGTTTTGATGCGCCGCAAACCCCGCAAGAGCCTCCTAACCCATAGCCTGGCTAGCCTCAGTTGGGACCGACACATTTGTGCAGCTTTTCTTGGCCAGTGAAACAACAAAGGCCACGACATTTTGCCTCCTCAACCGTTTGAACTCGCCCTGAGAAGAAAGGTCGTCAACAAGTGCGATGTCCGAAGCCTGACATTCTCCCCAATTCCGACCGCCAGCCCTCCGCCCCCCCCCCTCTCCCCCCAAACAGAACCTTAGGACAGCCAAAAGCTCGTCATTGGCATATCCGGGATATCTGGGTTTTGGGGATTCTCAGGGGGTCATGTGGGAGTAGGACACCCCGGCCAGGCGAGCCGGGCGAATACGGAGAATTGCTGACTTGTTTCCTAACTAACATGTACAACCCACCCAGCCTGGGCAAAGCAAGAAACAAGTAGAACCTTGAGGGTTAAGACTTTAAGAGCTCTCAGCTGCACCGTGAGCTTCCTCAACTGACAGAAAACATGCTGCCTGGGCACGTTCACTTTGTTCACCAGACCGTTGATACTCTTCCTCAGTGCCTCACCAGTCTCACAGGAGTGCATGCTTGCAATGGGTTTTGGACCTTGGATTTTGTAGGATACTCGAGTCTCTAGAGAGTTGCAAGATTTAGGCGCACGACGAGCTGTACTTCAATCCGAAACCCGCCCTGCATAGGCTTTGGAACCTTCTGCCGCTGTATGCTACGCATCCTCTGCAGGCATTGCGAAGGATGTTGACGCAATTGCCGTAACATGGCTGGCACAGACATTGTTTTAGAGTTGTCGAAAGACCAAAAACTGTTGCGCAAATTCTAGAAACAACGCTTTGATTGCTATATGCCAACATCCGGACATTCTAAACGACTCCGCAACCTCCCGCGTGGCCCCGAGGAAGATGGGATACAAGTAAGTGCCAGCGGCCTCCCACGTCTGTCGTTGGTACTCCGGGCTCGTCTTGTCCTCTATCTCCTTCTGCATGCGCGCTAACCTCCAGCAGTCCGGAGGTTTAGCCGTTGAACCCATTTCCAATGAAGTGCTAAAAGCCAGCAAATAGGGCTGGTGGAATTGGAAACTCGAATCTTCAACCCTGAGCACCCTGAAGCCATAAACCCTAAACAGTAGGATTCGAGGCCGACAGCCGGTTAAATGTCCCCGTAATGCTCCGAGGTTACTCCGAGGTTCAAGGCCTGTAGCGTGAGCACTGGAGGCGAGACTCTTACGATGTCCCTAAACGCGAACCCCCACTAACCCTAAAGCCCCACAAGAAAACACGGCTGAGCCCTGGGATTCTGAGCCTGGGGGGCTCAGAGAAGCTCTTAAACCCACAAAACCCCGAAACCCTGAACACCTAGTCAGGGTTGCGGGTTTGCTCTGATTATAGGGCTTATGTCAGTTTAAGCTTAGGGTTCGTCAAGACCATAAACCCCAGTACTGTCAGGCATACTGAAGCTGTCTGGCAAGAGGCTTGAAGGGAGGAACGTATACCTCAGCGTCTCTCTCCGGTTTGCGCTTAAGGGCTTGGGCTCACCAAGTGCCGGTTCATCAGGGCCTTTGGCACTTCGGGCTTCTAGGGCTTATGCGGGATTTTGGCTCTTATGCTCTTCTTAGAGGGGAGGTCCCAACAAAGCTCCAACTCTGCAATCCAAGCACGAAGCCCATCACTTTGCCCAACGTCAAACCGCGAACAAAGCACTAAACATGCAGGATCCGGCCTGCTCAGATTCTGCGTACTTTGTTCCACGTGTGCATGAGACTCAAGGGCTTCTGGGGCCCTGCGCCATCCGCCAGTAGCGACATCAACATCGACACTGCACACCATCACCTCTTGGAAAGCCCCCCTAAGCCCGAACGACCCTCGAAATCTAGGAAGGGAGCCGGGAACCTCAGGAGGACTGCCCCGCAAACCTGGAGACTTGCAAGCAAAGTACGCCACCGCTCCGGCCCAAGTTCTCGAGGTCGGCGATCTTCCGTTTCCTAGCTGCGGCTTCCGAATCAATAAGCACTTACATATATATATATATATAGACAAGAGCCTGCGACGAGGGTTTTAAGGCTTCAAATCTCTGAACTCGCGCAGCTTCTGACCACACTTCATGGAACCGCCCTCAGTCTTTAAGGAAAAGCTCAGACAGGCCTATACCCCAAATCCTATAAACCCGTGGTCCCCGTCAAGGGTCCATAGGCCCAGACGCGATCGAGGGCTTAAAATGGGCTATTGGGTTCCGGGGCTTGGGGAGACGGGGGGGGGGGTTGTGAACAAAGTGCAGAACCCTGGGCCAACGCCCGAAATCACTGTGGTCCTGCACAGGAGTATTACGGGGTTGTAGTCGGACTTGTAATAATATATATATATATATACATATATAATCCGAAAGGCCAGCTAAAAACGAGATCTCATGCTGGTCGGACATGCTAGAAAAAGAGGTTTGGTTGCAGGGCTGTGGGTTGCCGCTCAAGCAGTGCGGCAGGTCTACCTACGACTTAATGCCGCTTACAGTTGTAATAAACTCTATCCCGCCATCTATAGCAACCAAGTCTATAAGGAAGCAGCCCCTCTGGCCATGCGGGAAGTGACAAGGTGTTTAGGAACCTTGTGGCTTTGGCTTCTTCAGGGTACTCAGGGCACCATGTCCCTAGAGATCAAGGTGCAACTATCCACCTTCCCGCACTACTTCTTGCCACCCAAGTGTCTTGTATGTCTCCAAGTCTTCTTCCGCCTTCACCTGCCCATAGATCAAAGCACCCTACACCCAAAACCCTCAACCCTTTGAGCCCTAAACTCTTGTTGAGTTTGCACAGATAGGAGCAACCTTGCCTAAAGACCCTATCAAGGAGACTCAAGGGCTACACCCGCAGAGGCTAGGAGTCACAAGCCCTCGAAGCCCTCGAATTGGGTTTGGGATGAGAGCGACTTGGGCCCAAGTCGGCAAGACTTGCCAGGGGCTAGCAGCTGCCCAAGCACTGCTTACCACGCATCTCCAAGGAAGTCTACTCCAAGTGCTCCACAAGCTCTCACCTATGCTTCTTGAAAACCACTCCCAAACTAAAGTTCCTAAAGCCCCAAGCCCAAACTCAACCCTAAACCTTAAAACGCCGAAGCTCAAGCTCCCAGAACCCAAACCCATCACTGAGGTTGGGCACGGGCTCGCGGCTGCGTGCCGCTTTGGCCTCCTTGCTCCCCGCTGCTGGTGCCTCCTTACACTTGCGTCTCTTTCGGGCTTGAAAAAACTTGGGGTTTCGGGTTCCGCCAACAACAAAAAGTCAAAAGTATATAGTTCGAAGCGAAAGAGCGCTGCCTTGTGGAGTCTCACAGAGCCCTCCCTCGTCACTCGAAAGCCCGAAACGTGATCCCTAGTCCTGAGATTCCTGATCAAGTGCCCTTTAAGCTGAAAACCCTAAAACCCAAAATGACCCGAAAGCACGCCACCTCCCGTAACCCATCGGCCCTCCGCCCTCCGAACACTAATTATTCCCCAAATCTCATCGAGGAGAATATCTTGGGGGCAGATAGGCCCTAAACCCAAAACCTGCGAGTGGGTTCCGGCTTCCCGGGAAAAGTCACAAAGGTGGTGAAAACATGTGGAAGCCAGGGCCATGACAGTGCAGGGTCCATTCTGGCAAGGCATTCATCCCCCTAAACCGTAAACCCTAGACCCTAGAAACTTTGCAGGTGTTGGGGGCCCCAAGTCTCCAAACCCAGAACCGGCATCATACTCAACCAGCCAGACGAACTGATGGGTTTCGTCGTTGGGGCTTCGGGTTTCGGGTGCCAGGCATGTCCTTTAGAGACTGCTGCAAGAGGCGGTCCCAAGCAATGGAGCCGGAGCTTTGCCAGCACGATTTTTTTTTTTTTTTTTTGGGGGGGGGGGGGGGGTGCAGCGCTTTCGGTGCTCTTCTAGACAACATCCCACCCCATGCTTCCAACGAACCCACCCCATGCTTCCAACAAACAACCGAAGCAGAGCGCGCCTCGCTTGAGGATGACTTCTTCTTCTTTTTGTCTTTTGCCATCTTCGTGACAGCCTGCCGCAGGCTGGGGGGGTATGGAGCAACCTGAAACTGAAAGCTGACCAGCCCCTAGGATGCGTAACGTGCCCCAAGACCATTAAGTTGCATCACGAACATAACGAACGGGACACAGTTAGATTTAACGACGCTCATTGTGGCACTTGTAAAGCCCTGCACACGCCCGAATCCTCACGCTCTGTCCCCAAGCACACAACCCCCAAAGCCGGAAGCCGTGAAACCTCCAACTCCTGAAGCAGCAACATCAGAACATATCAGAACCGAACACTCGAACCTCTTCTGTCGTCCGATCGCCAAGGCTGCGAAAGGCTGGCTTAGCTAAGTTGCTCTCAGCAGCGCCCTTGTCTCTACAAACCTTTCCGAGATCTCGCAGATGACTCTAGACTTCTTGAAGCTCCTACACCTCTGCGGTACAAAGGCAGCTTGCAAAGGCAAGGCGTGGCTAGCATGGATCGTGCACGCGAATAGAGGCATACGTGCTATAGTTTCATGCTGTGTGATGTGGGGACAAAGATGGCTTTTGGGGAGGGTGTGAGGGTGGGCCTTACCAACTTGAGCCGCAAACGGTGTGGCAGGCAACCCGATTTGGCACAATGCTGCTAGGCATTGCCTGGCCTATTTTCCTAAGGGTCACGAGCCGCAGGGCTCAATTGCAGTATTAGCCTGCTGTGTGCAAACGCGGGCCTTTGATGGTGAGTGGTACAACGCAGTCTCGAACGCAGCTGCGAAGAGCCATCGTAACTTGCCCTGAGGCCACGTCTCCAGTGTTGAGCACTAGCACCGACACGTGGCAAAAGGAACATCCCCACCAAATCCATCCGGTCCGCAACGTTGCTCAATCAGTAGCACTGCCCATTGCTCTGAAGCACATGTAATTAGCCCACAAATCAACAGGACAAGATTTTCAACTGTTTGGGGTCTTATAAGCAACCTTGTTTTCGAAAAACAGAGTAAGCATTGCAGCAAACTGCAGGCACAGCTTTTTACTCGGCTGCACAAAGGTTGAGGCAAACAGCCCCAACTCGTTGGGCATAATCATAAGGGCCTGCAAGAATCCAATGGTCCTCTACCCGGACCACTTAATTCAGGGGTTTGGTCTCAGGGCTTCGTTTCTTTGGGCATCACCAGGCGGAGTTTAATGCCAGCCACACCCCAGATGGCACACACGTGTTCACCAGGTGGTGGCTCATCTCACCCTCCGTCGGCACTCGCCTCAAACGCCTGCCAGTGAGATGCTGCAAGCCCAAACAAACACATCCAACCTGCACATCTGAAGTTGATCTCTTTTGAATCCCCAATGCCCGGGTACAAGCTGCAAACGGAACGTTGCTTCAACGCTGAGTTTGCATGTTGAACCTGCACCCTGCCTTGCTACTGAGTCTCGGGTTTGGAGTTCTAGGCTTGGCTCGGTTTGTTTAAGACCATTGATGCGAAACTGCGGTTGTGCGAGCTGGGATGTGGTTGTGAAAAAGTTTGCTCAACCCCTTCATTCCTTTTGAATGCACGACAGCAACCATCCACATCATGATGATGAGGCCTCCGTGGTCCAAAGCATCCGATCGGGGCATGTGGCCCCACCCGTCATGGCCCCAAAAAGATGCAGGTAAGCTTCGGAGTCAAGGCAATACAGGGCCTAGGGCTTAGGGTTCTAGGCCTTGTAGCCAAGCCTAAACCCAGATTGTTTCTTGACTTTTCGAAGGGCCCTAAAAGTCTCGTGAACCCTAAGGCCGATAAACCCTGAACCCTGAACACTAAGCCCAAAACCCCAAAAAAACAGGCCCAAACCCAACGTCACCTCGTCGCTGGATGCCGGCTTGGGCTTGGGTGCGACCACGTACTCGGAGCTCGGGCCCTGGAGCATCTGAATAGCCGCAAAGCCTCAACACGATACGATGGGCCTTAAGGGTTTAACGGTTTAGGGACGTTTAGGGTCTAGGGTTCAGGGTTCAGGG